GGTATGAACTTGCCAGTAATGCGTTGTCCCAATACGGAATCAATTGTGCCTACATGTAGGTGTCCATCGCTGCCTCCCAGTGGAATATACTCCCCTCCCTCTTTTCATTGTATGTCCACGGCACCCTAACCTTCATCTTTTCTTTGCGCTCGACTCCCTCAGACTTGTCTGCTTCACCTTTCTTTCCACCATCCTTTCTGGGACCTTTCCCCTTTCTAGCATCATCCCCATTGTCGCACCCATCTCCACCTCCACCACCGGCACTCAACTTCGCTGCAGCGATGGTATTAGTAAGTTTCTGGGTTAAGAGGTCATCTAGCTGGCATGCATACAGCATGATCCTATGATCAACTTGATGGGATGATGCACTAAGGTAATCGTTCCACGTACTCTCGCATTCGTTCTGGTGCCGTTCTATTTTCCCGACAGTCCATTGTAGTGCAGAGAGTTCTTGGGTGGTGTGCAGCAAAGTGTCAGCAAGAAGGGTCCAACGTTCCTCGGGTGTCTACTTGTTTCCACTTTTGTTTCTTCAACAACGCCTGGAGTCTTTCCCCTTCCTCTTTCAATTTTTTCTTTTCGTCAAATTCCCTCCTTTTTGCGGCCAGCTACTTTTGATTGAGCTCACTTCTTTTCTCTTCTAATAACAAATTATTATCCTCCTCCTCATCAGTTGCCGCCAACTTTGCCATGAATCGATCTCTCTCTTCTTCACTTTCTTCCGGGGACTCAGTCCGAAATGCAACGTTTCCCACCCAATCAAAGTCTTCAACCCGCTGGAGTCTTAGTTCCCCAGTTTGGCTGCTCTCTGCGTCTTCTTCCTCTTCTTCCTCCTCTTCTTCTTAAAATTATTTTCTCATTTCTTCCTCCTCCTTTCTCATCTCCTTCTCAATTTTCTCTTCCTCATCCTCCAACTTTTTTCTCTCTTGCTCCAATTTTTATTTCACCTCCTCCTTTTTCCTTTCTTCTCCTCCTTTTCCCTTTTCTTTTCGGCCAAACTCTTGTCAGTTTCTGCCTTTTCTCCAGCTGTGTACGGCTATGTGGTCCTACCGTATCTCATGGTCACATCCATACTACACGTCCGGTGAAACCCAAGAGGGAACAGTAAACAGAGAGGAGGACCCCGTAGCACATACAAGGTTGAGAAGGCAAACATCGGGTAGTCATCCATGGTGAAGTGAAGCATGGGTAAGTAGTCTCCGCCTCCTCACCACGCAGATCTAGCCCTCAACAATTAATCTAACTTAATCTAGACTAAATGACTTGTTGCAGCTTCCCTCACAAAAAAAAACAAATATAACAGATAATTCATTCATGGTGGAGACAACTGATTGATGCCCTCTCTCTCTCTCTCTCTCTCTCTCTCTCTCTCTCTCTCTCTCTCTCTCTCTCTCTCTCTCTCTCTCTCTCTCTCTCATACCACCATGCCTTGAAGTTGACGAAAAAACAAAAAACAACTGCTTCCCAGTGTATCGGCCCTGCTTTGTGTGTATGTGCCCAGGCGCAACTGTCAACGCCTGGGCCAACTGTATGACGCAGCTTTGTGAGGCTCACGCGTCTACCCAACCAACTGGCGTGCTGCCAGAGCCTGAATACCCACACATGGAAATATCGAATTTTGCCTCTGACGAATATTCAGGCCCGCCTTCACTTAGGGCGGGCACTTGGCTTGCTGGGGGCCTTAGCCCAGATCATATGATGTCTGATAGGGCCCCTTAAGGGCTCGTTCCTCACAGTCGTCTGCATCAGAAAGCGTGATTGTGGTGGGGTGCTCTCTCTCTCTCTCTCTCTCTCTCTCTCTCTCTCTCTCTCTCTCTCTCTCTCTCTCTCTCTCTCTCTCTC